GAATGACCAGGATGCTTAGGGTGATGCTATCAGGCCAGTATCATGCTGGAATGAAGGGCTACCAGGTTTGTCCAAATGAATGACCTTGACTTTTATTCAAGATCACAGGGTTAAAGTTTGTTTAAAACCTTTAAACAACTTCTCCTGAATAACCAAGAGACATAGGGTGATGGTATTTGGCCAGTAACATGTTTGGATGAAGCACTACCAATTTACATGAATTTGTGTTTGAAAAATCTGAATAAAATTCAAAGTTGCAAAAAACAAATGTTCAAGTGAATGACCTTAACTAATCTTCAAGGTCACAGGGGTCAAATATGTTTAAAACATTTAAACAACTTCTCCTGAATAACCAAGAGGCCTAGGGCGATGATATTTGGCAAGTAACATGCCGGGATGAAAGGCTACCAAGTTTGTTCAAATGAATAATCGTGACTTATATTCAAGATCACATGGATCAAAACCTTTAAACAACTTCTTGCTAATAACCGAGAGGCCTAGGGTGTTGATAACTGGCCAGTAACATGCTGGGATGAAGGGCTACCAAGATCGTTCAAATGAATGACCTTAACTTATATTCAAGGTCATACGGGTCAAATATGTTGAAAAAAGTAAACACCGTTTTTTTTATAACCAAAAGGGCCAGGATGATGATATTTGGTCAGTAACATGCTGGATGAAGGGCTATCATGTTTAATCAAATGTATTACATGTACCTTTATCTATTTGCAAGGTCACAGGGTCAACTAATTTGAAATCTTTAAACAACTTCTGAATAAACTGAAGGTCCAGGGTAATGATATTTGGGAAGATTCATACTGGTATGAAAGGCCACAAAGTCTGTTCAACTTAATTTCCTTGTTTGACTTTCAATGTCTTATATGTCACATGTTTAAATATTTTAATATATTCTTTTGAATCAAACACTGGTATTTTGCCTGTAGCTGTATTTTAGTCCACTTTTAAGATTACAAGTGTAAGATTAATACCAGGTGAGCTATTCAGGCCCATTAGGCTTCTTGTTGTAGAAAAGCATTTGTGATGGAACAGCATTCTACTTAGTGTAAAAGTTACCCTACTGATTTTAGCTCATTGGTGGAGAGTAAGCCTAGAGAGTTTGGAGCTTTTGTTTCCTTTGTTGTGTGCTATTCCTATTACACATGTCACTGTGTTGTAATCTAAATAAACATGGATTTGGTTTATATTCACAGTATCGTTAATTACTTACCTACGTCACAGACGCATACAACAATGAATTGGGTACGTGTTAACATTATTCTTTTATTACCCTTTTAGGAGGGCAACACGGCTAATTGATTACCTTAGATTTCGCTAATACAGGAGAAATACATATTTTAACATACCGAAATAGAACAGTTGCACAACAGTAAAGATAGTCAGGCTCACGCGCCATTGTTGTAGTCAGCTGTTTCCTGCCAAATGGGTTTTGAATTAGGGACATACAGGCATAAATGAAGAAACTCGAGCGCGAGAGAAAAACTACGTTTTATTTCCCGATCATGTGATCAATATAAACCAACAAACACGCTGTTGTATATATGAAATCATTTGTTTTCTCCTATGTATATGTTCATTCGAAATATTTCAATTGTTACCGTGCACAGCTGTTTCACTTAGGATATCGCTGCCGACCTCAGCTGTGAAAAGTCATAACGTACAAACTGTGTATATAAGTACATCTACCAGACATTCCTATTCACTACTGACCCGTTCCAGTGGATCAATAAACATCAGTAAGCTAATCATACATACTAGCAGCCTTCGATATCTGAAATTAACCATTAAAATCAAAAACTTCTCATAAATCAATTATACCAATGACATGAGAACCATATCTTGTCTTTTACTTATGACGTAATTGTAATGTAACGCCATTGAGTAAAAGTGCTCCTTTATTCTATATTTGGAACGGATAAGCTTTGCAAGGGAGCATAAGTAAGATTTAAACAGGTCGTAAATAAGGGCATTGTCAATAATTTCGATAGTAATGTATAACCGAACACGGACGGCGTCTGCTGAAACGAAAGGCTTTAATTAAATAACGATATCTCCTCCTAGAGCTATTCATAGCAGCGTCCAATGACCAAATAAATGACTGATTTCCACGGAATTAGGAGAATAGTTCACTAATGGGTCTTATCTCACATGTTGATTAATGTCGCGGTTTATCTTTTTTCCTTTAATAAGCTATACACTACTTGTTTAATCATCTTAACAGCGTTGCTTAAATTTGATATACAATCTGTGAAAAGCAAGGTGTGGGACGGTTCTACCGCACTGCACTCCTACGTACCGTCAACGAAATACTTTATTTTGATACATTAATCAATTAATCAAGATATTCTGTCTAGACTAGTATAAGTCTGCCAAAATGTTTCGTATACACTCGTGTTCACCAAGTCAATTATTTTAAAACATGTTTTTGTAGTTTTATATTGTGGAAACAAAACATCATTAGGAAATACAAATGCCCGGTCGAAAAGGTTCCATTATCTGAATTTAATTTGTTCTACTGTATGAAATTTTATTTTTTATATTCTTTTAATTATTATTTTTGTAAATTTATTTGTAACGATCTAGAGATAAAGGCAAACATCACTTCAAAAAATACGTTATCATGGTATATAATCGCTAAATTCCGAAGTGAGTTTATTTTATTTTATTTAGTGTATTGATAAAGGAAGCAAAACAAAGAAAAAATTTAATGTCATATTGTCCATTTAGTACTCATCAGTGGTGGCAGGGCTTACCGCGGGGACTGATAATCCATCAGGAGTGTCAACCATTGTGATACGTACAATAATCACTAGATAAAAAACAGTAGGAAACACCTCTTGAACAATTTCGATTGTAAATGTAGAATGCCAAACACAGTCAATATTTACTGCATAATAAAGTAATTTCGTCCATTTACAACTCATCTGTTCGCACTGTTCGCACTGTTCGTACTGTTCGCACTGTTCGCACTGTTCGTACTGTTCGCACTGTTCGCACTGTTCGCACTGTTCGTACTGTTCGCACTGTTCGCACTGTTCGTACTGTTCGTACTGTTCGCACTGTTCGCACTGTTCGTACTGTTCGCACTGTTCGTACTGTTCGTACTGTTCGTACTGTTCGCACTGTTCGCACTGTTCGTACTGTTCGCACTGTTCGTACTGTTCGTACTGTTCGCACTGTTCGTACTGTTCGTACTGTTCGCACTGTTCGCACTGTTCGTTCTGTTCGCACTGTTCGCACTGTTCGTACTGTTCGTACTGTTCGCACTGTTCTTCAAGTCGTTGTAAGTCTTCGAGAGAGCCTATGTCTTGTTGCAATATGATGAACAGAATGATAATCGATATTGGATCTCAACTCATTCTACTGTGAAAGGGTGACACCTCAACTTTTGTTTCAAAATGGTCCCATTCTATTTTTACATGTTTATAGAGATGGGAATTTATCACACTAAAATTCATCAACTATACATATAAGCGTGTGCAAATAAATGCATGCTCACGCCCTGAAATACAAGGATGGATGCAGGCTTCCCGAATAGGAAGACACAATTTTTGTTATGATTACTCTTGCACAACGATAGAAAGAAAAAAAGCTACATATGTAACATTTATATCAATTTGTTATGAAAATGTCAAATTAAGATATGGTACCTCCCAACGCAAGACGCCATGTCGGCTCAATTATAAGGTGCCGTCCCTTTGTCGTTGAAGGTATTATAAATAAAGTATTGTTAAAGCTTATACAACTGTTACCTAGATACATGTACCATATAGTTAACTCGTTTAGCACACGTCAGCTGAAGAATACTAGATACACGATACAAGAAACTTTATATAACGTCGCATACAAGTAAACAAGGAACATTAGCTCTTGAGAGCTATTATTGCGACAAACGTATGTAAAAATAACAATAACATATTATATTACAAGTAAAGGGAGATAATCACATATATTAATAAAAAAACACAGTAATAATCATCACAGAAAAAGAAAGTATACATATCCCAGGTTTCTAAGTGGTTAAGAGTCCCCTACCTACAAAGGCCCCCGGAATATATATATAAATAGTGTTAATATATGAAAAGCATTAAATGTGATCATAGATACGTATTATTCAGAATAGGTAAATAAAAGACATAGTTAATAGTGAATGAATACTTGTATATCACACAAGAATTACTTAGGACTTAGGGTTAAAACACTACGAAGTGGAATATACATACAATGCTAATATAGCAAAGAATAAAAGTTGACAGATTATACACTATTTTAGTGTGAATTAAAAATGATACAGAAATCAATTAAAAAAATGTATCAAGTTTTGTAAAAAAAATATGTTTAAACTTAATAGTGTATATCGTGTATTACCAACACATAACAATAGTGCCACAGTCAACAGTTTGTTACATAAGTTAAAGATATTACTAATGTATCGGGTATCACGTCTGACCCAAAATGTCTGGAATAGTCGTTAGGCTGCATACTAATACTAACACTATACCAAACATACTGGGGACAATCATTGAGATATTCAATGTCTGGGTGTTATATCGAATAAGATAGATTTAAATTTCAAAGTAAATAAAATACATCTTAATTTGATTTGTACCTTTTGATGTTTAGGAAGAATTGAAAACATACTAAATAATCATCGGTTTAACATCCACAGGAAAAGATAAAGAAATCGATAACTTTAATTATTTTCTTGTTGGTACAAATGTGTTAAACTATTAGTGTATGTAATCAATGATATGATATATGAACTTTAACCAGTGAAATGGCATGTCAATGAAAGCCAGGACAAATTTACATCCACGTGTAAACAATCGTCAACGAGTTTAATCTGAACGAATGCCAATGCTTGGGCAGCATTCACTAAGGTTATGTACTGCCGTCGTAGGTGGCTACCGTAATATCGTGTTCGGGTGGGCTTATCGCGATCCTAAACAAACTCCAGCTCTGTGTGTGATCTTGGCTCATTAATATCACCCGTTAAATTTTACATTTAAGTTGACGTCGGTGTGGATTGAAGTTTCATTTTCAGAAACATTGTGCAGCTTACAGGTTATACTGTGTGGGCCAGACAAAGTTTCACAATGCGATTTGGATTCGTGTTACTTTTGCAAGTTTTACCCTTGGTATGTATTGTTAAAACGTAATTTATGATTTACATTTTTGCTTTAAAGTAACAATGATGTTTTTCAAATGAGTAGGAATTCATCCTTAATATATATATAACACAAACTTGGTTTCAGGTCTAGCAAGAAGGAATATTAAATTTGATTGTATTTAGGTTGACTATGTTGTATTTTTAATGTTTGTTTAGCTGGTACAGAGCCGCTTCTCCAACTTTGAAGCTGTTCCGGCGCCTCAACATGAGCCTATAAAATTGATGGATGCTATTTCGGAAGATGGAAGTGTTGTTTACAGTGACGATACTTCGGTAAGACGTTTTGACACATATATACAGTTTTAACTTCTGTAGAACTATTTAATACAGTTTTAATAATTTAAGAGCTGCTAAATACAGTTTAAACTATTCTATAACTGCTTGATACAGTTTGAACTCTTCTAGAACTTTTGAATATAGTTTTTACAATTCTGATATTTAAATACATTTTTAAATATTCTAAAACTGTTGAATACAGATTTTACCATTCTAGGACTGTTTAATACAGTTTAACTATTTTTTAAGTGTTTAATGCAGTTTTAACAATTTTAGAACTGTTTGTCTGATATTGCTTAAAAGTAATACAAACGCATTTGGAATTAGTCTACATTTAAATATTTTCTACGATTTTAGAGCATAAACAAATATATATTTATTGTGAACTTATAACATAATGAATAATAAAATATGGCAAACAGTTCATCTAATAATGACAATACCATAAACAGTAGTTTATTCTATATTAGTATATAAATATATGTATTTAACACACGCCATTGCAACTCCTATAAAATACATAATAGACAAAATATGACAAGACTGAAATATACTTCACCATACAACTGTTTCTAAAAGTCATCGGTAATGCTGGGGGCCAAAATGTGAAAATCCGAATTGGTCCAAACTATAGTTGAAATAGAAGGGGAAGTGCTAAATGCTCTGATTATATGCATTTCAAACATAAAATGAGCAGTAAGATGTATTAAGGTTTAATAGTTTCCCAATAATTTATGCATTTGTGAAATATTTCCTGTTTCTGCCTAAAATGCTTTCATCATTAGATCGCAAACTCCATAATAGCTTTGCACGCTGCAAATATGAGATTATCGTTGGAAAATCAACAAATGATCATGTCAGACAAATATTATTATTTATACATTTTATTCGAATATACGACATTAAAACTATTCTTTGGCGTGTTAACTGATGTCATTTCACTGAAGCATGTAAAGAAAATTAAGAACATATACAGTAAAATGAATAAGGAAAAGCATCGATGTCACAGAAAAAACCCATAGTCATGTTTCGATTTGTTTTTTCCAAAATTAACGGCACGATTCAATCGATAGCAGCAAAATCATGAGATATATAATACACGAAATATTTGTTTACCTTTTAACAATAAATATCACTTGTTATCCATGAGTGAGATGCTAACATTATGTTGCCAACATGCACGTTAGTAAATGCTATCGGATATATCTGTGAAAGATGACAACCGCTTTGTAAATAGAAGATCAAAACCTGACACATGGAAACAAATATCCGGCAAAATGGAGTAATTAGGGAAAGAGGAAACTACATGATTACCTTATGATGATTATGAGAGGAAGCACCTCGTCACCAACCACTACCTATCGGTGGGCGGGGAGAACTGTGGTGCTATCAAATTGTCTAGATCATACCTGTATCTCCCGACACCTTTAGTATGTAGTGCTTAACGGATATCTCAGGCGAAGGTAGTAACGCGTGCTATTAATGGCGTTCATATCTACATCTGTCCATCACTGTTAGATGGAAGTGACAGTTCTTCTATCTTTATTGAGGATCTTCCGTAATTAAATTGATATTGATCAAAGTTGTGTGAAGAAACATTTGGAAAACATAGAATTAACGGAATGTTCGCCTTTACCTTATGTATAAAACTATATTTTGTGATGTTAAGGACAAACCTACGTGAAAATGTTGAGATGGTTTTCATTCCAGTTCATATTAGATTTAACTGTGTATGGGTGTCTTTGATACGGAGCGAACTCTAGCAGTGTTAGAATTGTTTATAACATCAATCAGTAAAGGTCATTCATTCCACTCTCCATGTTTACAATATTGTAAGCCGATTAGGAAATGACAATATCAGGTAATTAATTAATGAGATAATTATGTTGCAGTTTTATGTTTTACTAACTTTTCAATAGTGCAGCTTTCATAACTGAATTGTTTAATCAACATCCTCTAATATGTCATGATTGAAATAGCGATAAAAAGGTACAATATATGTATTTGTGAGGAAATAGATCGATTTCAAAGATACGAGAAGAATTTTTGGAAAGATATACTTTATTTTGACATTTGGAATGCGTATTACATTTTGTGGATAGCACCGTTGTGACTTATTTAAGCAATGGATGTGTTAGTAAATCTTATGGTTCTTTTACACACTTTGCTATTGATGACAAACTTGATATAGCCCAGCAGGGGATACAGTCTTATTGTTGGAAATCCTTATTCAAAACTGGGTATGTCTAATGCACATCTAAAATTTGTTCGAACAATTGTGTTTTAACATTGCGGTTTGTTTGGGCGATAGGGGTTTGGGATGGGGGTGTTTGTTGTTGTCGTGGTTTTGTTTATTTCATTTAACCTTATGTGATATAGAAACAGTCGTTTTGACTGTCCTTTGAATTCAGACATTCCTTGGCGTAACATTCCTTCATATAAACATTTCAGTCAGTTTATGTACGATGGATGTAAATGTGTTTTTTTCTGTAGCGAATGACCAGTGTTAAGGACAACAACTTCAAAGCCTGTTTCATCACCGATTTTGATCCGGAATGGAATTTGGATATAAACGAGAAACAGGAAGTGGTGAACACCCACGTTAGTATGACGTTTTACCTTAACATGTTTAATATTTCCAAAGACAACAGGTCCGTCGGGACAATTTAATGTCTCGAGATACAAACTGTTGTATTTAGTTTCGAGGACTAGTGTCATGAATACAACTATGTTTTATTTACTCAAAATCGTGATGATTTCAAATTATTCAAATATTCAATTACTCTGTAATATTTAGAAAAGAATGAGAGCAAAAACAAGTATCCAAACATAACTGGTTTATTGGAACACATCCTTGGTCGCTTCTCAAAAAGTAGGTTACACACCGTTAGGATATCGATCAAAACATCCCATATTCCTTTCGTGGCGATTTTTTATTTTTATTTTTTGGAATTTCTTGTGTTGCTCAGGTGAATGTGTTATCATGTTCAGAATATCATTGCATGTTCTATTCTTGTGTTGTCTAAAACAACTTCGTGTCTAACAAAGCGTTACTTTGCACTTAAAATAAATGAATCCACATTAAAGCTTTCGTCAGCTACGTAACTTGATACTTAACTATCGTACGGCAGTTATAACCGCCTCACCACCAACATCCATGATAAATATTCTTGCGTTAAATTTACAATAATTTAATTTCCATTTATCAGTTACAATATATATTTTTTTTCTGACTTTTCCATGTAGATTTTCTACTCCCGCGTCTGTTTTTATTTTAAAGTCATAAAATATATAATGTACAAAATTTCGGCTGCCCTACTACACCAAATCTCATGACAAACGTGCTTGTGTCACTTTACAAGCTTAATATACCATGTTATGCGTCAGAGATTTACGTGTCATAGTTTATTTTCTTCTCCTGTTTTATATCATAAAACGAATACTATAAAAAATTGCAAGTCACAGTTGATTTTCTACTCCAGAGCCTGTTTGATTTAGATGTCATAACATATATATTATGAAATACTTCAATACATAACTCGTATTACCATTTTCCTACTGAAATGGTGCTCTATATCGGCAACTTATGGTTGGCATACAAACGGGCCGTCTATGATGAAGATATAACAAACATGCTTTTTGATGCTGATGGGCAACACCTTTTGACTGAATTGATCAAGGGAATTGTTAAGATTGTTTCTTAGTAGATGCACCCAGTTGACAATACATCATCGGCCAGATATTTCTAGCTGAAATACTACGATATAAAAAAATGTTGATATCGTCATCATAGCTTGCCTTTAGAACTGCACTTTTTATTTTTCTGTTGACTCTATTATAAAAAGAGATTATATGCATTATTTAATGCCTTTCCTTGTATACGTATGGTATTATTGAATGTTATCGTTTTTGAAGAGTATACGTTGTTGATAGTAATTGTCCCCTCTCCTTACAAGGCTTAGTATCTTTAATATTATATCCTAATATTTCGATCCCCGACATATCTGGATCATATAGGTTAAACTGATTTCAAAGATCGCCCCAGACCAATCCAGTACTACAGAGATAATACTACAAGTTGTGCATCAGTATCTTAGATAATATCAGCATCATGAAGTTGATTTAGAGTAACAGCTAGGTTTGTTCTGATCACTGACATTCATTGAAAACTTATTTAAAGCTAGATTTCTAAACCGCCTGATTCCTTGGTCAGGAAGGAGTGCAACTGACCATGATCTAAATTACTCTTTGTGTTCAAAACAAACTTCGAATTTATTATTCACACCAAGCTAATTAATCTCATTCCGAACGCCAATTAAGGGTGTTCATATACGCTTTTGTTCAATCCAATCATCGATCATTAAATCAATAAGGTATTTTACATCAGATACTTTTTGTGAACGCTTATCTTCTCCTTATTCTTCTGCTGTTGTAATATTAACCCCCTTGGACTTTTGCTTCTGAATTTGAATTAAACGTGAATATATATTGTAAGGTAGAGCAAGTCAGGTTTTTTACATATATACCACATTTTGCAAAATACATGATTGTTGTCGCTCATAGAAATCAACTTATCTTAAATCGAAGCTGTCTTATCTTGACGTGCAAACTGCCCATTTTAATTCATTCTGTATGTATTCACAGGAACCCGAAATTGTCAGGAGTCCTCTTCAGTACGAACACCTGAAGGTACGAACAGGTGACATGATTGCGATGATGTGCAAGAAGTCAAAGATATACTGGTTGACGGAGACGCATTCCCAGCCCCTTCAATCGTATTCCAGCAGAGCGGCAGTGAGTGGCGAGGCTGCCATGCCACCACCGGTATACCACCCTCTCGTGCCAGTCCATAGAGCACCACATGCGCAGCTACAGGCACCTCAGCACATGCCACGGCCCGCTCATGTCGCACATGTGCAACAACATGCCCCGGCTCATATTGGAGTCCCCCAACACGTCCCAGCTCACATGGGAGTCCCTCAACATGCATCAGCTCATATGGGAGTCCCCCAACATGCACCAGCTCATATGGGAGTCCCCCAACATGCACCAGCACATATGGGAGTCCCCCAACATGCACCAGCTCAAATGCAGTCACAACGTGATCCGTCTCCACAAATGGTCCCTGCACATGTGCAAGCTCATGCGGCTTTCACGGCTCCTGGTCGTGCTCCGGTACTTGCACCTCATCATGCACCGGAACACATCCCTGCACATGCCGCGTTTCACGCACCTGCACATGTTGTAGTTCCAGCTCACAAGCCACAGGTGATGCTCGTCCCAAGGCACCTTCCGTTCATCAGACCACCCATGTCTGTGGCAGCCCAAGTTCCGGGCAAACGTCATAGCTCACAGCAAAGTCATGACCGCCCTATGGCTGTACCACAGAAACTGAGTATGGCTCGCCCTCACGTGCAGCCCCATCATTAATGGGTTGAGTTAATAACTGACGACGGTGGATCCCCTAATAAATAACACACGTAACGTTTTGTGTCAAACTAGGGGAAATTACTTTATTCTTATATACACTTTTTTGTCGAACGGCGCATTTATTTTTCGTTTTCGATCCTCGTTTGTTTGTTAATTCACCGAAATGATAAAACGGCACAGGAAGTATTAAGACATTTATTATCTAAAATCAATCCTTTATTTTCAAAAACTGCAGCACAGTATTCAATCATCTGACATAGAGCGAGCAAGTAGCTACTTCGATGAGAACTTCTTATTTCTTACTTATTTATCACACATTCTATTATTACTTTGTTAAATGATAACAATTCCTAAAATACTAATATCAACAGAATAAAATAACCTGCGAATTAAACCGCTTGTTAATATATAAATATTTATTGTGATCACGTCAATTACTGTCGACGTCAATGAGATGATAATAAAAGCATTGAATAATTATATATTTGTTTTTTGTCCTTTGTCAATATACATACTATAAAATCGCAAAGATTAATACTATCAACTATCATTAGCCACTTTTTCAAGGATTATCGCTATAGTCAGTGTGAAGCAATTTTAGAGTGTTCGATTTTGTCAGCTTAAGCTATGATTTTCAACTAAGAGCATGGCATACGAAAAAATATTGAAAATGGTTTTTCAAAATCCCGTGTACAAAATAAGAAGAATGATGTAGTTTTTTTTTTGCATTTCTTTCTACTTTCAATCTAATGAAATTCAATATTGTTCCTGCGGTAAATAGCATGTGAATAGTTGACACAAGGTAACAAGGCTTATGAGAAACATTTCTGATAAGCACGCTGTCTTACCAGGTAGAAGCTAACCTAAGACTTTTAATGCTATCATGTCATTTATCACATGTCATAGATACGTCTTAAGGAATGGTTTGACGATTTGCCGTGAATTTTGATATGAATTGTAATGAAAAGCTTAATATATGCTACAATTTGTTCCAAATGTGGCGAATTTTACATATTGTCAAGCCCAGAACATGCAGGACTGAACATAGACAAAAACCAAAAGCCGAATTGTTACAAAATAAAAGTTTATAAAAAGTAATCTTCGAGAAATAAAGAGGATCATTTCATCTAAAAGCTAGTCTCAACACGCCAGAGTAGAGAATTGGGCTTGTTTATCCACTAATGTACATCGTAACGTCACCTTGATAGTTAAGTCAGATAACATGTAATGGTGACGTCATGTCGTTGTCTTACAGAAAAATACGTTAGAGTCTCGAAAAAGCTGATAGTTTCAGATCGGTGGTTATATCTTAGTGTTTCTATGTAGATATATAAATCAAAACAATATTTCTATTAAGATTTTTCACTAACCAAACAATACATTCATTAAGACAGCTAACGTAGTGGTCGTTATGTAGTTATCGTAGCTGCCTTAGAATCGGTATATTTTCACTAGTATTGTGCAGTCATTGGTCCTTCATTACTATTTAAATATAGTGCTTTCAGAATGAGATAAGATAAACTTTATTCAAAGTCAGCTAGTCGAGGAATAACAATTAAACATCAGCTCTAATGAGATTCAGACCGACACAATAGTAGGGGAGATGGGGGCGAGTGCGGTCCATTTTTATTTAAGACCGTTCTGGGAAGTATGGCAGCACGTCCGTTTTTGAACATTATTTCATTTTTACTGTCGGAAGATCGGACGGTTTAGACAGGTATTCGGGTAAGTTCGGCCCCAATTGGAATCGGCCTAATTATGACTTCATAAAACATGCAACGTCAGATTTACCCCCATAACCTGTTATCATTGTTCGGGCCCAAATTGATATTTCAATAAATTAATATCGGACAGCAATATGGTAGTGAGTGCTTGGCTTGGCTTTAATGTATATCATTTGAAGCTGTCAGTGTGTTACACGTTTGACAGTAAAAAAAGTAGCACTCCCGTTTACAGAAAGTTCGCATAACTAGAAGCGAGATCATGATTTTCTAAGTATCCTCTCAAAAGAGATTTTCTCCTGTTAAGTAATTTTACCTTGGAGTTTTCCTCGTCATTTTTTCGTGTGAAAAAACTGCTAAGATCCTTAAAGTTGTAAATAAAAGCTCAAAAAACAAAAATAGCAGGGGTGGCCGAACTGACTCCAGTCTCCCGTATGTAGATTTTTTTCATTGATGATTGGTAAAATGTATTTACAATATAATATTTTGCATCAATGACGCCGTTTTCTTCCAGTCAAAGCTTAAGTAGACATTTCTCTCGGCGTAACGTCTATGATGGGTCGGTGGCGCAGTGGACAGCGCGCTCGTCTTAACCAAGATGGCCGGATTCAATCCCGGTCACCTGCCCGATCACACGGGTTTTCTCCGGATACTCCAGCTTCCTCTCACATTAAGAATTAAATCATCTGCGTGCTTCCGTCAGGGCACACAAAGAAGTATTGAGAAAAGTTGGGAAAAACATTAGGTAATTGCTATAGAAAAAGTGCATTATACATATTTGACGATGAGTCTTAACAAATGTATAGAGATGTTAGTTAAAAAAAAACCCCAAAAAACAACAACTTGTGATACTTTATATTACTGAGATTGTCGTTATATCGATATGCAGTCTCAATTCCTGTTCCATCCTGACACACCGGATTGAATTTCCAATTTTGTAACTGTCACCGAGGTTTGACAGGTAATGATGCCAAATAAAAATTAAACAGTTTCTGTCTGTTACTAGTTACAAATCGGCGCGCGCTGTGAAAAAAATAAGAAGTTGATGAAAAAGTGCTTTGAACTCGGGTTGGTTTGTCAATTATTGCTGATTTCGACATAAATGAATTATCCATTGTTTCTTTTATGAGTGGTGATGCATTCATAAATTAAACAAAGACTATGACCAGACTTTCAAAAATGTTAATCATTTCGTTCATATTCTCAACAAATGGAAATCAAAAGCTGATGAAATTTTAGACGATGAAAAAAATGTACATGTTGACCTATTGGTTTCATGCGTGAAGATATCTCCAGGTAGAAATATTAACAGAACCTGGTTGATGACAAAAAGGATCTTCAAAAATCATCCGCATTTTTACTTTTTGTGCATGTGCAACTGAAATAAAAAAGTCATGAAGCACCGACAAAGAGATAAATGCAACGGACATCAGTTCCAAGATTTTTCGTTTATTTTTCATCCTTCCAGAAATAACCGATGAAGGCCGATGGAATGTGACGTGCTTGTGACGTCATAGTAAGATAAGCTCTGGACGATGTAACCTTGCTGCTAGTATCATAATTTATGGGATAGATTTTTTTTCACTCATAATGTATATTAGTTTTTATCTACATAAGTAATAAAACATGAGGATTGCTTTCACTATATGAAGATGTTCAACACAATTGTCTTTGCTTCAAGGATACACTTCCGGTTTCCCCATTGGACGTCTACTTCCGGACGAAAAAAGTTGAAGGCAATGTGTAACAAGGGGAAGCAACTCTGTATACGCACGCATGTGTTACCATTAAAGAGCTTCGCCCGGGCGCCTTTGGCTACGCTCTTATCAAGTCAAATATTAAGTATTGTTATCACAGACGTTTTGTTTTATAATAAAAGAAAGTAGTATCAACCCCAGGTTTCCAAGTGACCGGGCATCCCCAACCTACAAAACACCCTTAGCATGACACTTTGTCAATTATCATTAAAAGGATTTTTAAAATTTGAACAACCATTCCAGAGCAATGTGGTACTACAGTGAGCACTCAAACCATTATCTGTACGTACGTGCTTACTTAGCAAAGGGTAAAAACTGACAGAGTATACACTGACATAGCGTGGATTCAAACCATAGTTCATAGTGGATCACGAATACAATCAATTTTATTTTTTTACAATTTTAATACATTACACGACGTGATATAATGATCATAGTTATTTATATCACATTCAGTTTACAACAAATTATAAGTATTTAGCACTAAACCACAAAGAAACACAACCGTTAAAGTCTAATACAATTGGCAGATGGAACAGTTACAAAATGTTCCATTTCAGGTGTGAATCGTCCTCTTGGATCATTAAAATGCGGCTACTTTCCGGGATTCACTATAGAGAGTGTTCTACACCGTGGAACAGCATCAAACCTTTGAGGTTTGTGACCGTACTTTACCGTATTCATTCTGAGTACCTGTACTCCATTCTCCTGTCTAGGTTTATACCCTGTTGACTCAAGCGTTTGGTTTGATATGGTTTAACATTCTATCAACAGCTAAGGATATTTAAGGTTCCCTTCCGTTGACTAACGATTTCTGCCGTCATTTAACGTTCCTTTCTGTTGATTCACGCTTTCAGCCTTCCTCTAACGTTTATATCGTCCGATTACGTATTTTACCGCCAATTAGCAATATTTTCTGTCCATACACGTAATAGTTGAAAAAACCCACCATAAACATCAACGTTTTGAAGGAAACACTTGTAAGTAGTAACCCTACCTTAAAACATATTAGTATACAAATCACAGATGAATTTTTCAGCAGACAAGCAAGGGTGCTCATAGAATACACCATTGTACATGTATACACACATACACATTTCGATTACGCTGTTTTGGCAAGGCTGAGGACTTACTCTCTCTACGGTCTGCCACACAAAATAAGATGACCCATCTGTGTCCCGTGTTGCGCCAACCCAGTAAGAAGTGTTAGCTAAAAACAAGCAGAAGTTGGTACTTTAAGATTGCTTATTTTAACGATGTACCAAAATAATATCTTAATATAATTTATTTGAATTGCAAATTAGTATTGACATAACCATGTTAAAATGACGACTTGAGTGATACTGTTTTTTTTTTACTCCACGTGACGTCACGGTGTACGACATTAGACAAAGTGTACGTCACAATGTACGACATTAGACAATGTATGACATTAGAAAATGTATGACATTAAACAATGTATGACATTAGACAATGTATGACATTAGAAAGAGTTTACAGTGTGTGACATTAGACACAGTGTATGACATTAGACACAGTGTACGACATCAAACACAATGTACGACATTAGACACAGTGTACGGCATTATACACAATGTACGACATTAGACACAGTGTACGGCATTAGACACAGTGTATGACATTAAACTCAGTGTACGTCATTAGACAATGTACGGCATTAGACACAGTGTACGACATTAAAATCAGTGTTCGACATTAGACACAGTGAACGACACTAGACACATTGTACAACATTAAACACAGTGTACGACATTGAACAATACAATACAATACAATAACTTTGACTTGGTGAAGATGATACCAATACTCAAATATCGTCAAAAGCACAATTATGAAAAAACACCGGATATGT